CACATTTGTCAGCTGAGAGAGAAAAAACATCAGCCCAAGGACCATCACGAAGAAAATCACGAAAGGAATCCCAGTCAGCTTTAGGGTAGTAGTAGGTGGTGCCATGATAAGGTGAGCCCAAAAAAGAAGTACGAGAAGAAAGATTTATAGAGATCATTGCATGGTCAGAACCACCTAAGGGAGAAAAGGGAGAAACTGAACATAAGCTAGGGTCAGAGACAAGACATAAGTCAAGGAGTGAAGGTAAATGATTAGGGTTGTCAGGAAAACGAGTCACAAAGTTAACTATCTGAGTAAGAGATTGAGAAACGCAGAAGTTAAAGGCTTTAGTGCCAGCAGGATCAGTGGTGTTAGAGCCAAGCCATTCAGTGTGATGGGCATTAAAATCACCAGCAACAACAATATTGGCAGAGGGGTAAAGAGAGAGGGCATGGTCAATTTGATCAGAGATAACATCTAAGAGAGTGCAATCATGGGAAGAAGGAAAACGATAAAGAACAAAGAGAAAGGTGATAGAGTGAAAAGGTGCTAGGCGAAAGCACATAAAAGAATGGTCAAAGGATTCGAACCTGATTTCACGACAAATAGGGGAATTAATGCGTATGTATACCCCTAAACCTAGCATGTGGCTATTAGAGTCTTTACGAATCAAAGGATAGTACCCATCTACACTGACATCTGAAGAAGGAATTGCAGAATTTAAATTTGTTTCACTGAGTGCAAGCAAGTCTGGTGAATTTTGCAGGAGGTAAGACTCAACTGATGGAAAGTTGCTTCGTAGACCGCAAATATTTGTAAAAGATATATTAAAATATTTAGGTGGTGGGGATGGTTTTTTAGGTTTTAAATTTTTGGTTACTTTGGTCATGATTTGGGTTTAATGAGAACTTGACTCATTCATAGATAGAGCACAGCCTCCTAATCAATGAGCTATGCAGTTGTCTCAGTCCTGTTAATTAACCCTAAGCCGTGACATAGGGCTCCTTATGTGGCCTTGATAATGCACACCAAAAGCATTAACAGGGACACCATCCATGCGCAACATGGCACTGTTAATACTCTGATATTTTGCAGCTGTTGATGGAATCAGCCTCTCTGAGAGCTACCACAGAGTTCCGCAAACCTTACTACCAGCCGGCCTCAGAACCATTAAACTGAGTTTTAGAGCTGTACCCTCATATGGAGATAACAGGAAGAGTTGCATAGCCATTATCATAGAGGCATAAGCAAAGTTCTATGAGTAGAGTCAAGGAGATCCAGCATTCATCATCCTAGGCAGGAAACAATGTAACACAGGTTACATCTACGCCAGCCTAATAGATGAAGAAGGGGTTCGATGCTAGTTAGCAGAATTTTTCTGCTTACCCCTAAAGTCTTTGCCTAGGAGGCCTTCTACAAGACAGTAGCAGGATGCAGTTAACATCTGCCCAAGATGAGTATTTTTATCGAGACACCATCTCTAGCCTTTACTCAACCAAGAGCCCCAAGGCAGGGGATGTTTAGCTGGATGCAGTTAACATCTGCCCAAGATGAGTGTTTTTATCGAGACACCATCTCTAGTCTTTACTCAACCAAGAGCCCCAAGGCAGGGGAATTTTTAGTCGGAGTTTATTTCTCCTAGCCTTTGCATAAGAAGAGCACACTCAGCAAGGCAGCAGGGCTTGTGGCAGGTGGTACTGGGTTACGTGATACCAGTAGCAAGATTGATCTCGATTATCCTGACCTGACCTGGAGTAGTTAAAAGGAGTTACTTCCCGCAACAGTACTTTGAGAAAACCAGACATGACATTTTGGAAGTGCATAAGGAAAAACACTGCATCTAACAAAATACAGAAGTCTAAGGTGAGTGTACGTTTTGTAGTTGGAGTAAGTAGTTATTTACTGAGCTCATGCTGCATTAGAGTATAAACAGAACACAAACAAACATAAATCAACTTACGGGTGAGTCAACACCGCGCCAGAGGTTCAGACAGAACACAAACATACATAAAAAACATAAAGTAACTTACGGGTGAGCGAACACCGCGCCAGAGGTTCAGACAGAACACAAACATACATAAAAAAACATCAAAAACATAAACATAAACATAAAGTAACTTACGGGTGAGCGAACACCGCGCCAGAGGTTCAGACAGAACACAGACATACATAAAGAACATAAAGTAACTTACGGGTGAGCGAACACCGCGCCAGAGGTTCAGACAGAACACAAACATACATATAACGTAGATTACAGGTGAGCTAATACAGTAACTAAGGCACCTCCAACTATATGGGAAAAAAAAAAAAAAAATTACTATAGGCATGACTGATATAAGATAGTACTGATGACAGGAAGAACACTCCTTCCAGCCTTTGCTTAGATAGCAAATCCTGCAAGGCAGCAGAACATGGAACAGATTGCACTGGGTTACATGTTACCAGTAGCAGGATGATCATGAAGACCATACTCCTGACCTGACACCTGATATATATATATATATATATATATATATATATATATATATATATATATATATATATATATATATATATTAGAGATGTGCCCGAACCAGAAAATGCAGAGTCCCTGATTCCGGATGCCCAGTGGTAAAAACTGGGTTTGAGACCGGGTATCTGGCACCAAGTCCATTAAAAAAATTAAAGATAAAAAAAAAATGAATCAAATCAAAAATAATTTAGACAACACTTTTTTTTCTATATTTCATTTTAATTTCTTTTATGATTTTTTTTTGTGACAAATAAAAGACGTTATTAGCATTCGAAATAAGTAAAAAGAAATTTTATAACTAAAAATAAGTCTTTTTTTGATAATAATTTCCAAAAAAATCTTAAATAATAATTTTTTTATAAAATAATTGTTATTGTTGATATTTTTATATAATTTTGCTTCTTATGAGACCCAACATGACATACTTTAAAAAACTTTTTTTTTATAATATCAGGGATCCAGTAAGTGTTCAAGGGTCTTTTTCAATAAAATTTTGAAAAAATTTAACCGAGTTGCTTGTGGGAACCAATAGCAATTTTTAAGAATATGAACAGATCTTTTTTATAATATAAAGGGCAGCTGGGACCCACTAGAATATTTGTATGTATATACATATATAATATATATCTATATCTATATATATATATATATATATATATATATATATATATATATATATATATATATATATATATATATATATATATATATATATATATATATATATATATATAAATATATATATATATATATATATATATATATACACACAAATAGTATTGTCTAATAAGGTAAGGAATCTGATGTCATACTGAAATAGTCTGCTGTCGGGGGCTTCAGTACATATATCGATATTCAGTACATATATCGACTTCAGTACATATATCGACATAACAGTTAAGAGATTGAAAGATAAATATATATATTTAATATATGTGTTTTTAGTTATGGCATCTTCTAAAAGCGTGTTTACTATCTGAATGCCTTCTTCAGTATTCCAATATTTTGGAATAAACTGAATCCGATAATAAGTTAGCAATCCGATAATAAGTTAGCAATAATTTAAGCAAACAATTTTTTGTAGTTTATTACAACCTCGGAAACAACTGGCAAATTATTTAATCATTTATATCTATATTTTGACTTGTTGTTAGCAATATTTTCTCTTAAAAATATAGTTGCGCGCAAAACATAACAGTTTTTTTTTTTTTTTTTTTTTTAATTTAACCATATCAATAAAATTTACAAATTTCATCGTAAATTAATAAAAAAAAAAAAAATAAAAAAAATAAAAAAAAAAGGAAAAACTTAATATCTGTATATATAAATAATAAAGAAAAGGAGAAAAGATTGTTAAACAAATAATAATGATATATGTAATAATAATTAATAACACAATAATAAATAAATATAAGATTGGTAAATAATAAATAAAATTAAAATCAAACCACAAGACAACTATAGTACAGAGAGAAATTATAAAGAAATACACTCCAACAATATATTTTTAAATTGAATTCTGTTGAGCAGTAAAAAATTCGTAACAAGTGGATATTTTTTCTTAGACTTTTTTGTTAATGCAGGAATACACTGGTTCCATTGAGAGATACATTGTTGTTTTATGGAAAACTTACCATATTTGATTGTGCTGAAAAAAGAATAGTATAGCTTACTATTTTCTGTATTCCTGGTCTGATGATTATGAACTTCGTTTGTTTTAATAAAAAAATTTGAAAAAGGGCTTGGTAGTTTATTTTGGAGAAAGTCAAACACAAAAAGACAATTGTAAAACTTTACAAGATTATGGAGTTTTAGGATTTTTAGTTCAGAAAATTTTTTTTCGATATCAGATCTCATTGGGGAAAACGTCATTATTCTAATAGATGCGCGTTGTAAACTAGCAATGTTGTTAAGTAAAAAGTTTCTTTTTTGACCCCAAACAATACAACAATAGCAAAGGTGAGAAGAGAATAAAGAAAAATAAATCATTAGTTCTGTTTTATGTTTATTATTTTGGGTTAACCAAGATGGTGGTTGACTTTCAAAACTGGCCTCATCGTTTTTTATATAAAGTATATACTACGGCATCTCCTGTTTATTAAACCTCCTTGATTCAGACCTTTAAAGTTATTTATATCCTCACAATAATTTCATTATCGCATAAGTCATTTTTGGGGGGTTTTGAGTTTAGACAGTCTTCTATTATATGCCAAATCACCTATATTTTAAACCAATCAGAAAATAGCTTTTTATATTTGTTTCCTTAGCGATGCAATAAAAAATAGCGATTTAGTTTATTTTAAGTTTTTTTTCAAAACATGAAAAAATAGCATTTGTGAAATGATAGTGATGATATGATTTAGATTTTTAAGGAATTAATTATATGATATTTACATTTATTTCCTTGTGATGCAATAGAAATAAATGATTAATTATATGTTATTTTTTATACTAATATTATTTCATACTTATGATGATATTTTTTAGTATTCTTTTTAACTTTATGTAGCACCCATTCTATCTATAATTTCAATATCTTCACATGAAGTCTCTTTTTCTGTGCTCAACCATGTGTCTGCTTTGTTGAAAATGAGACCAAGAATGTTTTGTAAAGACTATAAGGTGTTTTTTTTAAGGCAAGTTCTTTTAAATTGTTACTATTATTCAAGTTTTAAAAAATTTAATCAATTAAGGATGATTTTATAAAAAGTTGTAATACTAAAAATGATCATCACAACTTTTTCATTAAACAACAATGAGGCTAGATATTTTCAGCTACATATTTTTAAATTAAAAAAAAACAAGTCTGCATATATATTTATGTTCAAAAACAACAAGACTATATAATCTTTTTTTTAGAAACAACGAGCCTACATACTTGCAATTAAAAAAGATTGAAATTTTAACTAAGGTTGTCACTGAAGGAAATATGAATGAAATTTTAGCTGAACTAATGTGAGTAAGTGTTATTATGTTATAACTTAAAATTATATTTTAATAATTATTTAATAATGAAAAATTTTTAAAAATAATTATAAAAACTATTTAATAAAAATGTTTATTTTAAATGTCTAGATTTTAAATGAATTCATTTTTCTAAAATTATCTTCAATATTTAAGAGAACACGCACATGATGTAGACACTGAGGTTTCATATGCATCTGCAAAAGCCCTTGGAAGCATCTCATTGAATTTTCCATTTACAACTCAACCATGCTTAAACTCATTAGTATCTCTTTTAAAACTGGAGGTTGATTATATTACTGCAAATTCTATTGAAGTTATTCAAGGTAAGTTCTAATTATAGAAATTTGTGAAAATTATCTATCAAATTATCTATCAAAAAAATTATCTATCAAAAAAGAGTTTAACCATGGCTTTATTTTAATGTTGGATTTTTATAACACTTGTTTAAAAAAAGTTTTGTTTTTTCAGATATTTTGTCAGAAAATGTAGCCACGGATTTTTTTATTTTGCCTGAATTGGATAGAGTATGGGATCAGGTTCAAAATTTTTCACTTGGTAAAGCAGCAATTATTTGGATTTATGGAGAGTTTGGTCAGGTATAAAAGTCACTTATAATCATAGTGTTTTTCTAATTCTTTGTAAATATGTAAATTATATATATATATATATATATATATATATATATATATATATATATATATATATATATATATATATATATATATATATATATATATATATATATATATATATATATATATATATATATATATATATATATATATATATATATATATATATATATATATATATATATATATATATATATATATATATATATATATATATATCAGGGTGTAATCTAGTCCTGTGGGGTCCTGTCAAACACTTTATTCCCAAATGCTCATAAAATTAAAATTCCCCATTAAAAATCCCATTCTCCAAATAAAGTAAGCTAAATCATAAATTAAAATTTAGAAATAATTCTGAAAATTATTGAAAATTAACTATTATTAAATATTAATAGAAAAGTAACTTAAGAAATTCTAATTTATTGTGTTAATTTTAAATTTGAGTTTTTTGGCTGAAAACTCAAATTACTACTAAATCTCACTGCAAACTCTACTTCAAGTAGTACAAATTCCTCAACAAAGTTTATTCAAAATATCAAGAACCCATTAAGTCAGAAATTTTGATTAATGCAGATATTATGGAAAGTTTTTTAGTTATTGTTATCCTTTTTTGTTTGGTAGTTTATATCAACTGAATAAAGGCGAGTTTCTACTCATCCGTTTTTCTACGGGAACGAGATGAGAAAGAAAAAAATTATTACATGAGCATGCGTAATAAAAGTTTTTATTTGTCAGAAAGAAAACTGTGCATGCTCACGTGATTATTTTTCTGTTCCCTTTCTCTTTTCCATAGAAAAACGGATGAGTGGAAACTCACCTTTAGGTGATAGCATCTATAACCATTTTTTACTTATCTGCTAGGGATCGTCCGCAAAATATATTTATTAAAACAGAAGTAGTAGATATTAGGCTCTTCTGTGCCTCAATTTTCATTAAACTTAATGGCTAATTTAATTTTTTATTTAAATTAAGACTCTGCTAAGAAAAACTTTTGATCTTTTTTGTTTGTTTTTTTTGTGATACTTTGCGTTACGTAATTTATAAACAATCCCCTATCATTTCTCAACTAACTTTTTTTAAAAACCACCTCTGAAATATAAGTTAAATAAAAAAATGTTTTATGATTAGAAGTTATAATCATATAAAATATATAATTGTAATATAAAAAATTGGTACTATAAATTTATTTAATAAGGAAAATAGATTTCTTTACTTTACTGCTTGCTTGTATTTAAAAAGTAAATTAAATATGTTTTAATAAAACATTAATTAAATACGTTCAATAAAAAGAATGTTTTTTTTATTACAGCAAAATGGTACTAGAAATTTAAAAAACAAGAAAACTAGATTCACCACTCGCTTGAATTTAAAATGTAAAAGCAAATTTAAATGTTTGAATGAGCCACATTTTATGACTATTAATGAAAAAACAATTATTGGTGCTTTTTGTTTCAATAATAATGTGTAATGGCTTGCAAACAATAATCTTTTGTAATTAAACAACATTTGTTGTAGTTTTTGCTGAAATTTTGTAATTGTAACTTTATTTCGCTATGCAATTTATGTATTAAAAAAATTAATATTAATAATAAAATTGAACCCGCAAAAAATGTGAAATATTAAATTTAATAGCTTGTGTTACTATTTTTAGCTACTATTTCAAAACTTTTTCTATTTTTAAAACATTTCTTATGATGACACAATTTATTACATGATGGTGTAAAGGTTCGTCTATAATCGATGTCAAGCAAAATTTAATAAGTTTGTGTTTAAGAAATGCGTTATTGATTTATTTGTTTTCTCGATTTGCTCGTGTATCAAAAAAGAAATCCATTTACACCAGTGAAAAAGAACTATATATTCACAAGAATACTCTTAAAAGCAAAATGATATATAAAGATTAAAAATAAATCAAATATACAATTTTTAATAATAATCAATTATTATAAACTGATTAAAACAATATCAAAATATATAATTCTTATTATATCTTTGAAAATCGGAGTTTAATTTGCTGTGTCGTTGTAGGCCAATTTAATTTTGTATTGACTTCATCTTTATCTTCAATAAATGCCACAGACGGTATTTTTAATTTTTTTTTTGGTGTTATCTAATCAATGTATGTAACACTGAAGGGGAGAAGAAGAGAAAAGAAGATAAGGAAAGAACCCTACGCATTCCCAAAACATATTTTAAATTCGGGGGAAGGAGGGGGATCAGAAAATACTTTAACAACACTGTATAAAATTTTGTCAAACGCTGTATAAAATTTTTTCCTGGTTAACACCCTGTGCATATATATATATATATATATATATATATATATATATATATATATATATATATATATATATACACACACACACACACACACACACACGCACACACACACTCAAACACACACACACACACACACACACACACACACAACCTTCAGAATTAGGAAAAATGAGGTTAGCAATAATTTGCCAACCTTAATTATTTAGAGATCGCCAAAAAAAATTCAATACAAAGGTCTTACTGTAAAACATTAAAACAAGGTTGGCAGTTTTTTGCCAACCTAAATCACTTTAAGATCAGCAGTTAGGTTGGTATTGCCGAATGTCGACCCTTATTCCTAGGGTTGTATATATATATATATATATATATATATATATATATATATATATATATATATATATATATATATATATATATATATATATATATATATATATATATGATTACACACATACACACACATTTGTATTTATATTTGTATAAATATATATATATATATATATATATATATATATATATATATATTGCCTTCATCTTGTCTTGCCATTTCTATCTAATGCATGCTTTCATGTTAATTTAGTTATTGTGAAAAAATTAAATGTAGAGTATGAGGATTGAAAACGAATAACCCTTATCCTTGAGAAAGTTAATATGAACTGATCAATAAAATAGAAAACATTTTTTTGTGATACTAATAAAGGTTTTCCAAATGTCTCTGAAGCTTCTGAGCTTTTGATGAATTACAAGATATACTAATATGAGAATAATAACTTTTTTTAGATAATACCTTTTTGCACTGATTTCTCTTAATGAGGTAAAGAGGTGTGTTTGATAAAAAAAAGTAAGAAAATAATTATGATTGGAAATGACACAAAAAGAAGAAAGAAAATTTTTTAATTTTTTTATTTAGGAAATTACTAAAAAAAACTAAAGCTTCTATTTTTTTCTAAATCCAAGAAGTCACCTAATGAGAATTATGTTTTCTAGCATAGAGACAAAAAATATCAATCCAAGGACCATTATAAAAATCACAAAAAGCTCCTAGTCAGTACATACGCCAAAAATTTTGAAATTCGACTCCCCTCCCTCCCCCCTGTTGCCATGCGTACTTCTAAGTCCTTCCCCCCTTAAAAAGTACGTACGTTTTTGAAATACCCCCTCCCCTCCCAAAAAAAAACTTTTTTTTTTCAATGAAAAAGTTTATGGAAAAAAAAAGGTGGAGGAGGTACCTTATATACTTTATACGATCCAAAAGCTCTTTGTTTGCGGCACAGGATCCGAATTTTAAAAACCTCTTTAAATATATGCAAATATTAATTTTACTATAGTTAAACTACATGATATAAATATGTTCGCTTGGTCGAGCGGTTAGTGTTGCGGTCTGAGGAGACGGTGATCCATTTGATTCCTGGTTGAGTCAGAATGTATTTTTTTTGTTTTAATGACGAATCAAATAAAAATAAACTATACTTAAGGCAGACCTTTTTTTTTGGGAGATTTTGAGGCCTAAATGACACCTTTTTTTAGGGGGCCTCCAACCCAAGGAGGGGCCCCTAAAAAAAGGTGTCATTTGGGAAAAACATTGGAGGCCCCCCTAAAAAAAAAGGTTTTTTTAGGGGGCCTCCAATGTTTTTGCAAGGCCTCCTCATTTGGCATAGTTATACTTAAGTTTTAGAGCTTGTACAATGTTCACTCAACAATGTTTTTGGTGGGATGACGGAGGCCTGGGAACAAAAAAACCTTAAACAAAACGCTTTCCCCCTCTCCTCCCCTCTATCCAAGCGTTAGGGCACTAATATAGTAAAATTTCAACTTTACCATCTAAAACTTTACCATCTAAAACAAAATTTAAAATCTGTCGATAAACTTAAATTTAGTTTACTAAATTTATGTTTATTGATAGACTTTAAATTTCATAGAAAAATATTGTAAATTGCAAAAGTTATGATCATACAAAATTCACAGCCTTCCTCTTTTTTTTTTTTTTTGGGGGGGGGGGGGGGAGAATGGGCATTTCAGAGCTTTTTTGCTCCCAGACCTCCGCCTTATTAATTTTTCGCAAGGGATCCTCATTTGGCATAAGTATAAACATACTTAGGTTTGGAGTTTGCACAATGTGTGAAAGTGTCCTATCTAGAACATCAAAAAATCCTCTGGGCCCCCATGCATGTGTGTGCATTGAGGGAAACTATACCCTCTACTCCCTATACCAAATATTTTTTTATGTTGGCGAACTAGGATCTTAAGTCAGAATTTTAACTTTTCTATTGATTACCTGGTTAATTGTAATTAATTTAAAAAATCGATGTACGTACTTTTAAATTGAACTTACCCCTTCCCCATACGCTTTCATACGCTTTTTGAAGACCTCCCCCATCTCTTATGAGCGTACGTATTTTGTGGACGACCCCCAATATAATAATTGCATAGAATACATTGGTTAAGGAAATTAATGAAGGTAGGATTCTCATTGTCCTCTTTTTTCTGTAGGTGAAAACTAATTAAAATTGAAGTTTTCACTGCGTTCTCCTATGGAAAAAAGAGAGGAAAATGGGAACCTTAGGTGAAGGAAAATAATAAGCTGACAGTTTTAGTGTTATTAAAAGATTGTTTTAACTGCATGAAATTAAACAAATGCTTTGGTGTCTAAACTATGCGAAGGAGAATAAACCATATGAAACTTTTTTGATACTTGAATATTTAAAAATCAATTATCTAATTTTATAGAGTTGTGTTTGCAAACCCTTGAAAAATAGTTTGTGTAGCGGTACCCCTTCCCCTGACCCTCAGCCATGGTGGCACTCTCCATATAAAAATTAGGCAGAAACATTACCATATATAGGCATATTTTTTGAAGAAAAATGAAGAACAATAATTGCTGTAAAAAATTTTTTTATAAATACACTCAGCGCTGTCAAAAATGGTCTAAAAATAGCTCCTGATAGTAAACAACATAAGTTTTATATATGTAGACCAAATATGTATGTGTTTATGTAGAACACAAATATGTTTGTAATTTTATTTTGCTTGTGGCTGGTGCCTATATGTTTTTTTTTTTAGAATATTGACGTTGCCCCATATAATTTGGAGACTTTGGTGGATCATATTGAAGATGAAAACTGTTTGTTGGTTAAATTAAATCTACTGACTGCTTTAGTCAAACTCTTCCTCAAAAGACCCCCTGAATGCCAAAAAATTTTAGGAAAATTTTTAAAATACTGCATTGGTAAGTGAAGTAATACTTTGTAAAAATATTTCCTACCTTTTAAATGGCCACAGAAATTCCAGATATTTATGGAAATTAAATTAAAGCATTTATTTTCAGCATTTATTCCAATTTATTGTCAAAAATATATTTGAATGTTTGTATAAAAGAAGTGCACAGACTTTTTTTGTTTACTCTATTTAACGCTCATTTTTTTTTTTTTTTTATTAAAAAGAAATGGATAATTACAATTCAAGTTATTCAACTTTAGAGCATTGTTTAAAATTCAATTGCAAGTTGTAATGACTTCAAAATCAAGCAATGATGATAAATCTAAGAGAAACCACTTGCAACCATTGCAAAATTGATATTATTTTAAAATAAAAGGAGTTATCTGGTTTTTACTGTTTGTTACCATTTGGCAACATTTAATATAGGGTCAAGTTTATTATGTTAGTATATAACATTATTTGTAAATTTTTTTTTCAATGTAGTTGTTATTCTGTTTATATTTAACCTATAGTGGTTTTAACTAAAGTATTGAAGATACTGCCTTTTGTCAGTTCATTCACAATGTACCCTTAACACCCAAAACATACAACAATAACAACATATTTTCTTTTACAAACATAACATTAAAATAAATTTTTTAATAAGATTAATTTTTTTTAACATTTAATAATACTAAAATTAACAATCCCAATAATAATTAATAATGCAACTAGATAATAATAGAAAAAACTAATAAATAATAATGCATTTAGAAAATAAATTATAAGAATGGTGTTGCTCTAACAGAAATGCACCAAAAAAATGCACCAAAGTAAATTACATGTCACACCCTAAAATAACCAATAAAAAGTTACACACAACAAATCACACCTTAAGAAAAATAATAATAAAAAATTACACATAACAGATCACACCCTAAAAATAACCAATAAAAAATTACACATAACAAATCACACCTTAAAAAACCAATAACAAGTTTCAGATGTAATAAGTAAGTAAAAGATTAATATGGAAACAGAAAAACAACAAATAATGATTTGACAAGCAGAAATCATTAGTTTCTAAAAAAGTATTTAAAAAAGAATTCAGCAGCAATTAGTGTTTTGATGAGTTAAATAAATGTCGTTTAAAATTTGTTTAAAAGCTTGAAATTCATTTTTTCTTTGTTGTTATAACTTTTTAAATATTTTTTTTTTAGTTGTTAAAGAGTTTTTTTTTCTGACTTTTTATTTAAAATTTATTCAGATACCTTTCCTATTTTTATAAAAGTTTTTTTATTCTTTTTACCTTCTTTTTTTTTGACTTTAACTTCATCTTTCGATTTAGTTGAAATCAATAACAACACTAATGATAAAGATAATAAAAAAAAATATATATATTTTTTTAAAAGAAAATATGTTTACAAATTACAAAAGTTTGAAATTTATGCAAATTTATTGGTTTTGATTGGGTTAAAACTTTTGTCTTTTCTTACATTGAAGTATTTTTTTAAAAAACAAAGAATAGCCAGAGTTTTGTTTTCCATCCTGCACCTTAACTTGTTTAAAATAATGCTAGTAGCAGAATACAATCTCAATACTGTCTACATTCTTATATTGATGAATGGCAACCCTCTCACTGTTTCTTCTTCTGTACGTCTTCTTGGATTGTTTACTACTGGCCTCTCATGGAGACCATATATACAATCAATTGCTAATTTAGCATCTGCTAAGGTTGCTTTTCTTTATCCTTTTTGCCATTTTCTTACTCCTGATTTCATTATCTACTTCTACTAAATCTCTTATTCGTCCCTGTACGGAATGCTGTTGTCATGTTTGGGCTGGTTTTTTTAATGATGCTCTTTCTCTTCTAAACAAGATCCATAGACACATTGTAAATTTAGTTGGACCTGCTCTATCTGTCAAGTTTGAGCCTCTTTCATTGTCTTAAAGTTGCATTTTTTTCTCATTTCAACAAATACTATCATGGTTGCTGCTCAAAGAAGCTATCATATCTAGTTCCATTAACCAAAGCTCATGCTTGCTTGGCTCATCATTCAGCATCGTCTAATTCTTTCATTGTATCTGTCCCTGCATGCTCTAAAAACTTTTATTCGTCTAGTTTTTTTCCCCATACTTTAATCCTTTTGAACTCACTTCCATCTTCATATTTTTCTAACTCATAAAACCTACAATTTTTCAAGTCTTCTGTCAATCGTATCCTTGCTCTTTAAACACTAGATTATATCATCAGCACATTTTGGTTATTTCCTGACAACCTTATAGTTCATTTGTTTACAAATTGCTTCATAGATCTATTTTTTAATTGTTTTTTTTCCCATTGAAATTGGTGATGGCTGGTTTTTTTTATTGTTTTTTTTTTGTAAATCAATATGCAATATATGAAAGTTAATATTTAAAAAAAAAAAAATCTGTTAATAAAATAGTTGAATTGAGAGGAGCTGGGAATGGTATGTACTTTAATTTGGATATATATATATATATATATATATATATATATATATATATATATATATATATATATATATATATATATATATATATATATATATATATATATATATATATATTGAGTAAAACAATGTAAATTATCTCAAGAGTTTGATTTTTTAGCAATTGCATCTGTTTAAATTATAGGTTATATCACCAAGCATAAATTTGCTTTAATATTAAACCAGTTGTGAACATACACACCCATTAACTACTCAACAATCATTTTAAGTTTTTACTTGTTGATCTATGTTTAGGCTCCTAGATTCTGCAAAATCTTAAAGCAGTAATTAGCCATCTAATATGATAAGTAGGAGCAATTTCTAGGAATGCTAGACTCTTTATTATATGTATATTTACAGACATTGTCTGAGTCACTCTAGGAAAAGTAGAAATCATTTTCTTATTTTATAATCTCCTGGTCTGTTTTTTATTTTTTTATTTCTGAAACCTTATTTTTTATTGTATGCTGTTAGAGATTTTTTATTTTGTTTCTTAGTTTTAATATGATCAATGCTATTTGAAGAATAGCTTTGGTTCCAACTTTTTCCCTTTGAAATTTAACTAATTTTAACTCAATAAAGGAATTTTTGTTTTTTACAAGAATATACAATGTGACCTTTTCTGTCACAACTTTCTTCACAATTATTTTGCTAATCAAAAATGTAATTACAATATTTATAAATACTTATAAATTATGCACAAATGATTACATAGAAAAAGAAAATTGAGTTCCTAATTAATATTTTTACTGAAAATGGATATTCTCGGCAACAACTTCTAGACATTGTAAAATATTACAAACCATCCCAACCAAAAAAAAAAAGCAAATAATACCATAATACTTCCATGGGTTCCTAAATTAAGCTTTATTCTTAGATGTGAGTTTGAAAAAAGTTGGCATAAAAACAGTTTTTCATTTTGAAAGATCTTTACTGAAAATTTTATGCCAAAATAATTTGAAGCTACCACCAAACAGTTACCCGGGTGTTTACCAACTTGAATGTACATGTAGTGCTTTTTATGAGGGTGAAACCAGGAAAAAGATAACACAAATAGCTAAACATCAAAAAAACTTGACTAAAGCGAACTGGAATGTGTCTGCAATTGTTGAACATGCACAACATTGGAAAGGTACAATTAATTATAATAATCCTTAAACATTTTCAGTTATACCAAATAGTTATACTAGAAAAATCAGTGAGGCAACTGTATATATTATTATATATAAAAGACTATATATAGTTATATATATATATAAGTATATTATATATATATATATATATATATATATATATATATATATATATATATATATATATATATATATATATATATATATATATATACATATATTTAATATTTAAAAATTATTATGTAAATGTATAATATCTATAATAAGTTTTTGCAAGATATTAAATTTAATAAAAGAGCATTATAAACTGTAGATTTTTCACCTTGTAAAACACTGTAAATAATAAACAACTTTCATCATTTCTATATAATCCAACATGATAACTATGATCCTATATAATTCCTATACAAATTCTATATAATAACCATAATTCAATATAATACTTTTTCATCATTCCTATTTGATTAAATTTTTAATACTTTTTCATCATTCCTATTTTGATGAAAAAAATAAAAACACTTTGAAAAGGAGAGTATATATTTTAAATATAATCGTTGTTAACATGTTGTTTGTTAAAACCAAAACCTCTATGTGAGTAATTTCCTTGGCTCGTTTTTTAATAGCAGTAATTTGATTTGAAATTTCTTTCTGATTTTAAATACCCAACAATGAATTGTAAATACTTGCATTAAATATGTGTAAATTATTGAAATTTATCATGTTTTTGTTTTAAATATTATCTTCTAGAGCTGTATGTAGATAAAAAATTAAATCAGGCAACTCTGTTTTTCTTGCAATGATACATTCTTTAAACATGCTGAGAGGTTTTTTGCTCATTTGCTCATGCTGAGAGGTTCTTTGGGGGAAGGAGGGGGGATGGAATCTGATTATGTGTTATGTCTGTATCTTGTCCCTGTATTTCCATTACTAACCCTTTCTTGTATGTATTTATAACTTTTTCAAAGACTCCATAGTTTTCATGTTCTTTGGTATATATGAATTGATGTCAATTGATTCTTTGTTGTTGTTATTTGTGTTTTTTTTCAAGATCTTTACTGCCAATAAGGCTGCAACCACTAGTAGTTGGAACAGAAAAGATGGAGTTTTAGAAGCAAGATAATGATTAACAGAACACTTAAAAGATTGCTAATTATATGAATCAGGGAAACAAGATAAAAGGAGCAATTCCTTCAAGTTGTTTCTTTTTTGATTTTTTTTTCTAACTTCTACAACTGCAAGTTAAATTCCATGGGCCAATCACAACTGCTGAGCACTAAAAAAATTATATTTACTATACTAATTTGCCTACTTTTATATATGCAGTATCACCATTTGTTTAAGAAAAAATATCCCTTTTTAATTACAAACCATGCTGTTTCAATCTTTGATTTGCAACGTATTTTTTGGCAGTTGATCTTCCATTGATTTCCGTAGTTTTTGATCTTCCTGTGATTTATAAAAGTCCTAAAATCCTAAACTTTGACTCCGAGTAAAGATTCACATAAATTGTTGCTGCTTCCTTAAGGAAGTCCACTCTTCAAAAGTAATACTAAGACATTTTTCTTTTAATTTATGTTCTGATGTTTTTTCAATGACAAGCTGTAAAACAGTTTCACTGTTAACAATTTTTTGTATAACTGTGGCAGATTTTAGAAGTTTATCACTTAGCTTTAATGTTTTCAATGGTTTTTGAAGGTCATCATATTATGTCATTCTGGCGGAGAGCAATTTGTAGTAATTTTAAAACATTTAATATTTTTTTGAGGAGTCGTATCAGATTTTGAACTAGATTCACCTAGAAGTTCAATATCATCTTGTTTTGCTAATATCCATGTTTTGGATTTAAATGTGTACGAAGGCCACTTTAAGTCACCTGCTGTTCTTTATAATTGCTGCACACTTACATTACATTGCTTACATTTAGCATTGTTTTTTTTTTTATCTTTGAGAAAGTAAAACCAAACTAAATTTTTATCTCTTTTTTGAATGTTAAATTTAAACTTAAAAATATTAACTTACCAAAATTTACATTAAAGAATTATTTTTAACTTTTAAATATATAGATTTTGTAATATGTATAGAGTGTAAACGCAATTTTCACTTTTCCTTGAACATTACTAAAAAACTAAAATAGTAAAATCAAGAACTTAAGAACAAAAGAATTTTTACCACATTTTAAAATATATACACTAATATATGTTTTAAAAAAGTAATGGTTAAGTGTTATTATAAACCTGAGAATTTTAGTGATTTTAAGTAGAATAAGGAACTAAACTCATGACATTTCATTTCAAAAGTTTAACTTTTGACATCTTTGATTTTGATTAAAAAAACAAGGATTAAAATACCAAAATATTGATATTTAAACCATTAAATACCAATGTTTAAAACTTAAAAAACATGACCAGTATTCCAGCCAGTATTGGGTTTTTTACTTTTGTTATTAATTAAAAGATCTCTAAGTCCTTTTCAAAATTTGTTAGTTAATTTTCTTTAATTTGAAATATATATTTGTATATACTATTTAAATATATATGCAATTTGTATAAGTTGCTTAAATATATATGTAAATACATAGACTCAAATTTTCTTTTAGAGTCTGAGATAAATTTTGATATCCGAGATAGAGCAAAATTTTATATTTCTATTCTGGAAAGCAGTGTTGAAGAGGTTTGTATGCTTTTTCCAGAACGTGTAAACGTATAAAGTATGGCCCCACATTCCTGATTTTAAGCTACAAGAGAACATATTAAAATGAAAAAGTAAAATTTTAAAAATTCTATTAGGAAAAATATCAAAGAACAAAATAATTAAAAAGTGTAAAAAATTACTTTATTGTATTGCAAAATGTCAATTTAGGAAGGTGGAGCCATCTTTGTTATGGTTGATTATATATATATATATATATATATATATATATATATATATATATATATATATATATATATATATATATATATATATATATATATATATATATATATATATATTAAAAAAAAAATATTTTAATTATTATTATTTTTTTAAATTAAGAATGTTTTTTTTATTTTTTAGGCTCGTAGGATTGTTTTATCTACCCCGCAATCAATCAAAAATGTTGATGCCAGTATTTCTAATTATTTCTATGAACAAGTGAATAGATTAAATTTTTTTTTTACATTTTAAGCAATGTTTTAAATTCTATTACAGTAGTTATAATTGTAATAATTATTATATAGTCATAATATTTTTATGGAGTTGTAACTTGCAAACTAGTGACAATTTTATAAAGTTGTAATTAGCATACTAGTGACATGTTTAAAACTAAGTAATAGTTGAGTACAGTAGTTATAGTTGTAATAATTATTACAGTCATTACATTTTTATGGAGTTGTAACTTGCATACAAGTGACAATTTTATTCCAAAAGAATTAAGCAATCATTAAATATTTTAAATAGTTGCAATTTTTTGTATCTTATCTAATTATATCTTGCAAATTAAATTGTCAAAAAAATTACTCTGTAGTCTCTAACGCTAACATTTACTTTGACAAACTTTTAATGGAGGTAGTGAAAACTAATTTCTATCACTTGTAGTTTAAAAAAAAAATGAATTTTTTTTTTGTTATTAATTGAGTAGTTTACATCTAAATTTTTTAAGTTGTAGTTTCGAGCTAATAAACAAATAATTTTTTATTGGTTGGCGTTAAAATTAAGATTTCTTGCCATTAGTAACAGTTTTTAGAAATGTTTTTAAAAGTAAGTGGTTGTAAAAGTTACTGAATTAATAATATTATTTATATATCTGTTGTATTTTTTCTAGATGCATTTTTATTTTAATCTTTTTTTTTTCTAATAATACTTAGATTAACTGTTATTTAAACAAACATAAAATTATAAATAAAAGTAAATGAGTTAGCTATTTTTATTTATTGCTTTTGTTGTTTCAATTTACTGTGTTGTTTTCTTTTTTGGTAAACAAGCATAAGCTAATTTGACCCTTCAATAACAACAGTGTTCACAGATTTATGTAAACTGAAACTTTGAGAAACAGAATTTATTCCAGATATTGCAATAGGCATTTAATTCAACCCTTATGTTGTTATGTTGTCATGTATGTTATGTTGTCATGTATGTTATGTTATGTAATAACATATTATTGTTATGTTGTTTATTGTTCATATCACTAAGTTTTCTTATATGTTGTTTATTAAGTGTTATATCAAATAACTACTTGATTTAATTGAATTTTTTTTTTTAAAGTCTTACTATTTTATACTATATTTGCTTATGTTAATTTATGATAATTTATGTTAATTCAGGATTTTCTATTCGAACAGTTTAATACACTATCAGTTATTTACAATAGATCGATGACTTCCATTTCTGAAGAAAAAAAAGGTTATTTACATATTTTTTGTGTTACCTTCTTTGTTGGGTTAAAAAAAACACAGATAAAATACCAATTTAAATATCCTATTAAATAAAAGGGTAGAAAGAAAAAAATTGATGAGAAAAGAATTTATTTTTAAATGCAAGTTAGTTTATTTTAAGAATATTTATTCCGAGATTGAACTATGTGTACAAGTTCCCAGAGTAAAATAATTTAGCTAAATATTTTGTAAAAGCTAATATTTTGCATTAGTTTTTTGTGATATTGTAAATTTTTTTAGCCTACAGTTCTGAGACATCTGTTTTGCAAAAAAATATTCTAGTTGCTGACCTCTTAGTGAGTTTAAAATTTATTTAAATGAATTTTCTAATTATTGATAAAATAATAATTATTTAAATGATTTTTATAGTTTTTGGATAAAATTTTCTTGTTGTTTATATGCATCAGTTAATAAGTAGTAATGAGCTCACACAATAAAATTGTCAGTAGAAGATGTTTGTCTACACGAAAAGTTTTTGTGTGATCTAATGACATTTGTACAAACATAATTATCTTTTTGATTACACTTTTGTAATCAAAACAACAATTATTTTTATTTTATTATCAGGCTAGAAAAAGTCTATCATTTTTAATCAAAAGTTTGGAGTTTGCAAAATAAGTTTTGCAGAAAATGCGATATTTGTCATTTTATTTTAAATCTAAATAAAGAGTGTAAATGTGCTTCTACGCTTTTATTTGTGTCTTTTATCTTTTTTCTATGTTTCTTTGTTCTAAAAAATAATTGAAGAATGTTAAAACGTTTTTGGTTTTACTTGACTTAATAAATGACTTTAGCTTAAAAATAATTGATTGTGTAGATTTAAGAAATATTTATTTAGGTTGTAGATGATAAATATTTATTTAGGGTGTAGATGATTAATATTTATTTAGGGTGTCGATGATAAATATTTATTTAGGGTGTAGATGATAAAAAAATCTCTCTTTCTGAAGAAGATTTCTTAGATTGTAAATCATTTGAAGAAATATGGAAGTGCTTAAAATATAGGTATTTTAGTTTGTTAGTATATTTGTGGTATTTTTATTTTTTTATGTTGATTTATTAGAAATATTTAACATATCTTGGGATGATTATTTTTGTGTAAAGTTTTTTTATACAAAAACATTGAATCTACAAATAAAATCTTACAAAGAATATAGGTTTTCATTATTAATTTATGTAAATTTATGTTCTTATATGATTTGATGGTTCTTTTTATACTTAGAAAACAACAACTTGTCTTTATTGTAAGCTCATTGTTTTTTTACTTGCCTACAGCATTTTGTGGTGTGTTCTTTTTCTACCATTTTGTGAAAACTGTTGTACAATGTCGAAATTTGATGTAGATACTATTTGTAATAACTGTGTGTACCACAACGTTTGCTAAGGTCTCAAAAGTCTCAAAGTTACCACTACCTTATCTCAAAGTTACCACTACCTTACCAGAGGTTTGTGAGGTTACATAAAATAAAATTTTGGAAATCTTATGATTTGGATTGATTTTTTAAACTTAAAGGTTTGCACTCTCATTTTTTTTTTCAAAGTTATGGTTTGGGCTACCTATTTATTCCCCCCACAGAATATTTTTAAGTACATGTTTGAAAGAATATTTGACAATTTTCAATTTTCATAGATATTAACAGAATATTTTAAAGTTTTGCAAGATGGTGTTTTTATGTGTACTATACTTTGAAAAAATATGTTTTTATATATACATGGAATTATAATGAGGATTATGTTGGATAATATTATCTAAAATATATTTGTTGATACTATTTATTAATTGACTATTAATTGACATATTTATGTTAAAAAATAAAGTTGACAACGAAGTAACTAAGCAACTAAGTAACTACTTAGCTTTGGTGCAGTGATTAGAGTGTGAACTTTCAGAAGTCTGACATCTCTAACCATTAAATAAAGATCTTTGCTATGAAGACCATGTTTGTATCTCTTTCTCTTTTCTACAAATACTTTCATGGTTGCTGCCTAAATGAGAGACTTAAATGATGCAATTTTGCTGAATAAAAGGAGCTTGATGAGTCCAAGTCCTTTCATTTAGTAAAGTTGCATCTGTTCCTATCAAACTGTATTTGTTCCTTCATGTTCTAAAATCTTTTATTATCCTAGTTTTTTCCCTTTACCTCAACGCTTTGGAACTCTCTTTCATCTTCATATTTTCATGACTCATACAACCTTTTCGAGTCTTCTATCAACTGCTTCTTCATTCTTAACTTATTAATGGTTGCTTGCAGCCTTGTTGGGATTGGGAACTAAAAAAAAAAGCACTTAAAACTTCAAACATTGAAAATTACTACAAATTATTAATTGGAAGTTGTTCACATTTACTCCTGGTTGAACATTTTTAAAACTTTACATGTCTATTTCTGGGCTTTTTAAACAATTTTTAAAAAAATTTTATTTAAACAATTTATATGTTTTACGCATTTTTTTAATCTTTTTTCATTTTCAGTGAAAATTTTGAAAAAGAGTTTTCTGTTTGTCCCTCACATGAAGAAATTATTTCTATCATGAAAGCTGCATGTATACATAATATTGCTTTCAGTCCTAAAGAATCAAATAATTGGAAGTTTTTTTTTTATGCTCAAGAGGTATGTATTTATTTTTTTAATTTTAAATTTAAAATAATTTAAACATATCCACACAAACATTGCATAAATTGAATTTAAAACCAATATTGTAACATATAATAACAATGAAATTGTATAACAATTAATAACTATGAGATTGTATAACAATTAGTAACAATACAGTTGGAACACCATGTTTTGTACAAAACGTTTTTTTTTAAAGATATTTTTTTCGCTTTTAATATATAATTGTTTTCTGCATTCATTTATCTATCAGTACAAACTTTTTACACTAAAGTAATTATTTATATTTAAGAAAAGCACCAAATGTTATGTAATCTAAATAGTACTAAATATTATGTAATGTAAACAGTACCAAATATTATACGATGTAAACAGTGCCAAATATTATGTAATGTAAGGAGCACCAAATCTTATGTAATGATAATACCAAATATTATGTTATGTAAAAGTACCAAATATTAGTTAATGTAAACAGCAGTAATTATTGCAGCCCATGCTTACTAATCACTTGACACTTGATAATAAACTTTGTGTTTGTTGCAAGATTTATTATTTTTTTATTTTTTTATTTATTTGAGTCTTGTTGTTTTCAGTGTTAATTTTTAATCTTTTTTTTTTCTTATTATTTCTTTTGTTACCTCCTCCTTATGTTACCTACCTACCTACCTCCTCCTTTCTTTGCTCTAGCTTGTTCAACTGGTCCACATATTTAGGCATAATACAAAAAATCACCTAGTTGTTTTTAGGTAGCTTTTAAAAAATCACTTTGGTTAACTAGCAATATATAAAATTGAAAGCAATTGTCCTGCTTGAACTACATCTAAAAGGTCTGGCAAGTTATCTAATATTATCTAATATAATAGAAGGATTGGCATTTTGAATTCTACTTTTTTTTTTTTGACAAACGAACAAGTAGAAAATAGGTTACTCTAGAACCATGGCAAAGCTTCCTGAAAGGGTTTTCTAGTGATTCACTTGTGAACCACTCCAGGATAAATGTGTCCCAGGATAAACTTTTTAATACATTTTAAATCAGACTTTTTCATTCTTTCATTTACATTTACCACATAAAGAATAGCAGATATATGTGTGATCTTATAACTGTATGATACTTATTTTTATAATGAATATCTACTTCAACATCTTTTTCATTACAAATTTTCCAAAACTTCGCAAATACATGCATAAATTTGATAGTGCCATTAACATGATTTTTTTAAAGGATGGCTGATTTTTAGAAAAAATTATTTTCATCAAAGAAAATACTCAAATACTTATCAAAGCATTTTTTTTAAATACTTATAAAAAATTTTTTTTTCAAAGTTTTAATACTTAGTAATTTATAGTTATTAGAAATGTGGCTGTTACCTGACCTGGATATTTTGACAGGTTAACATTTATGTTGTATACAATAAGATCATTACTATTTGAAAGTCTTTTCTTTTTGCTATCAAAATAAAAAAGAACGTATTCTCTAAAGCTATGTAGTTCATTTGATGTTGTATTTATTATACTGGATGATAAAAAATTTGTTATTCTGAATTATGAAGGAGGTCAACTAAAACAGCTAGTTGCTATGTTATGAAAAACAGTTAGTGATTCTGTAAGATGTTTTTTTCTACAATAAATTTAAAAGGTTTTCAATCTAAAGGCCAATTCAGTTGATACACAACAGTGTGCATATTCACAATCAGATTTTGATTGTGAATATGCACAAAAAACAGTACACAGTTGTTGAAAACATTGAAAGTGATTAGACCAATCGCTATAGAGTATAACCATTGCAAATCAAATTCAATCTGTAATAAATAATAATTTAGTAAATCTAGAAAGCAAAATGATCTAAAAATAGCGATGGTCAAAACATAGGAGAAAATAACTCCAAGAAAATAGAAAGCTCTGGTAGAACATGGCCTTGACATCTGCAGGTGATTATTAATGGAAAGGATGGTTTAACTAGATAATTAAGTATAATTTTTTGCTTAAGTTCTGAAATTATGTATATATATAATATATTGTATATATATATATATATATATATATATATATATATATATATATATATATATATATATATATATATATATATATATATATATATATTATATATATATATATATATTATATATATATTATATATATTATATATATTATATCTATTATATATAATATATATATATATTAGAGAAATAACTATGTAACTATTTAGTGACAATGTTCTTCAAGTTTTATTCATCACAAAGTTCATTATTTGTACACGAAAATTAATAAATTAATCAAAAGTATTAAATGTTGACCAAGCTGTGTTTCGCTTTCAATATTTTGTGGCAAATCCTTAATTGTCGATCACAGTCTTGCATCTTCGAGGCATAGATTCCATCAGGTGATCAATGAAACTTTGTGGAATCACTACCCAGGCCTTTTGGATTTGTTCAAACAGTTGATCCTTATTACAAACACCTTCATGATTAATTCTGCGGTTGACGATCTCCCACAGGTTCTTGATAGGGTTGAGATCCCGAGGTTGAGATCCAGAGATTGCAAATGCCATTGCTTCTAATGATGTTGAACTTCGATTCATCACTGAACAAGGCAGTTCGCCATTTCTGCACATTCCAGTCAATATGAGATGTAGCAAACAGGAGTCTTTTCTTCTGGTTCTTTTGTGAAATCAGCGGTTTCTTTGTAGGGCGTTGAAAAAACAATCCGGTTTCAACAGTATGTTGTCTGATTGTTCGGTCCAATACAGGCAGCTCTAATTGCTTTTGTATCTCGACTGATTATATCCAGGGATCCTTCTTGACGGATCTGACAATCAGAATCCTCCATAAAAGTGGTGGAACGCGGTCTTTAATCTTTTTTATCTGCTGCCAACTTCCCCGTAGAACGATATTTGGAACATAGTCTTGATACTGTCCATTTTTTCATACAATATTTATCACAAATACTTTTTTGTGACATTCCACTTATGTAATCGTCAATAATTTTCTTTCTTAGTTCCAATCCAAGACTGTCGAGAGCCATTTTTGCACTTGAAGTCATAAAAATAATGAAAATAAATAATCACGCTTCTCAAGGCTTACCCTCTTACATTTAACTAGTGATGATACAATAATGCTTTGTGGAACACAAAGTCTTGCTTGGATGTGGACTGTATTGATGTAATGTAACACTTGTTGTATTTCACTTCTTGTATTGATATTCTTCAATAAAACACTTTGATAAAACTCACTTCGATAAACTGTCTTTATAATACTGACTGATTGGCTTCCATATACTGACTGAATTACATGTCGGTTTACATGTCTCATATTGTAAAATGAACCTGTGTGAACCTGTTCTGAAAGATTCTAGATTCTTCTTTTCAATGTTTCTGGAAGCTTCTGGATGCGTCTGGATGTTTCTGGATACTTCTTGATGCTTCCAGATGCCTCTTCCTGAAACTTCTTGAAGCTTCTGCATGCTTTTGGAAACTTCGGGAAACTTTTGGATACTTCTTTTAATTATTAAAAAACTTCCGTAATGTTGACACGGACCAGACTTAAGAAAATGAAACAAACCAAAAAAGTTGCACTTGTTTTGTCCCCTGCAAAATGGCACTTGTCAACGAAATTCTGCCTGTGTGCTGTCACCTGTCAGCTGATTGCTCATGTCATGGCATGCTATGATTCCAGACTCCTGAACTGTTTGCTGTAGTAGTATAGTTTGTTTCGTTTTTAAGACATTTTTGAGCATTGTTCGATGTTGGTTGCAAATGTTTTGCCTAATACTGTATATATATACATTTTTTTAAACATTTTGAATGTTTTTGATTTTATTTTTTAACTGTAAAACATACGCGTAGTGTTGCTACATTGACTGACAAATAGCCTGACTTGCAATGGAGTGCTGCTACATTGACTGACAAATAGACTGACTCGCAACAGAGTGCTGCTATATCAACTGAGGGTTTGGTTGGGACAGGCAGTCTATCAAATAATTAAAAAAAAAAAGTTTTTCTGGTCTTTAAAATAAAAAGAACCCTTGAACCGACATTTTATGGTAAAAACTTAAAGACAAACATACAAGAGTGTATATATATATATATATATATATATATATATATATATATATATATATATATATATATATATATATATTTCAGGGCATACTTGAACAGCAAACAGCATAGAACTTTTAATACCAATCAACATTAAAACAATGACTCCTGAATAGATTTCGCTGTTCTGATTTTTTTCAAAAAATCACCGTCATCCTATAATCACTTTTTTGCAAAAATATTTTTGCTAAAAAGTGTTGCCTGAAATTAAAGAATCTCTGACATTTCTTTTTAATGCTAATTTTAAGTTCTTGCTATCATCACAGACAACCATTCAACTTATATACTTGCATTTAGAAAATTTTACAAAGTGCTGTTTTTTTTAATTATAATAATAACAATAATAACCGATAGGTTTTATCGTGCATTATATAAAGGTAGAGAGGTTAAGTCTATTCCTCTTGACATTTCTAAAGCTTTTGATAAAGTTTGGCATGCTGGTCTTCTCCATAAGCTTTCTTTTATGATGTATCTGTTATCATATTTAAGATCATTGAATCCTTCCTTTCTAATCGTAGTATAAAAGTTGTTCTCAACGGACACCACTATTCTTCTTATTCTGTAACTTCAGGGGTTCCTCAAGGTTCAATCCTTGGCCCTATACTCTTTTTAATTTACATTTACGATCTTCCAGATATTCTCACATCTAAGGTTGGATTGTTTGCAAATGATACTACCATTTATTCTTGTCATGATAAGAAGCCAACACTCTCTGATTGCTTCGAGGAGGCACCTGAGCTTGATAAGAATCTCTCTTCTGCTTCGGCATGGAACTCACAGTGGCTGGTGAACTTTAATTCAGATAAAACTCCATTTTTTTTAGTCAATCGTTATCGCAATAGTTTAAATCTTCCTATATTTATGAATGGTAATTTACTTGAAGAGTCATCTACACTTTATCTTCTAGGATTAATTCTTACTTCCGATCTTTCTAGGAAATTATATATCTAATTCTTTTCAAAATTAGCATCTGCTAAGGTTGCATTTCTTTATTAAGCTCTACACTTTCTTACTTCGGGCCTGCTCTTGCAGCCAACCTCCAACCATTATCACATCGTCATTTTGTTGCTTCTTTTTCTCTTTTTTACAAATATTATAATAGGCACTGCTCTAAAAAGTTAGCGTCTCTTGTGCCATCTACTAAAATTCATTCTCGTGTTATACACCTTCTAAGTACTCTAAAAACTCTTTTTCGTCTAGTTTTTTTCCTTGAACATCAGTTTTTTGGAATTTGCTTGCTTCATCTTGCTTTCCTGATTCATATAATTTTTTAATTTGTCTGTCAATCGTTATCTTATTATACAATCTTTTTCTTTTGTTTTCCAATAACTTCCAAGTTAGTGGCTACTTGCTGCTTTATTGGAAGCGAAGATGTTAAAAAGATAAAAATTTCACTAAGTTAATAAAAAATATAACTTATTGCCTGCTAATTTAAAGAAAGCTTACAAACTTACACTGGTCTACATCCAGGTATAAATAAGTCAAGTGTTCAACTCGCTTTGCAAAATTTCTATCAAACAACCTATTTCATAACAAATTTTCCTTTCAGCTCAAACATCAAATGCATATTACAAATATCACATTAAAAGCCTCTTTAATTAAAGGTCAGTTACAAAAGGAAAAAATTGCATTTATACCAGCAAAAATCAAACCGATCCTCTTAAAAAATATTTCGGAAAATTTAGGCAGATGAATGGTGAAAGGTTTTTATTTGATAAGTGGCGGAAGGCTTTTAGTTTGATGAGTGGTTGAAGGTTTTTAGTTGGCGCGAATTTCCAAAAAAGAAAAAATCGTTATAAAATTTTTAATTAAATTAAAGTAACTTTGATTAAATTCTTTAATAATAAAGCCATTAAATAAGAATTCAGAAGAACTAGAAACAACTTTACTTTTATTGCAAATGAAATATATGATTTGTAACAGTTTAAAGAAGTTCAAAGAATCGAGTTGCTGGGTATTTAACAAAAAAATTGTCTAAAAATATTCTTTGTGTCAAAAAAATTCTTTTCTCAAGCAGAAGTGTAATGGAGCCAAGTGAAAACATAACTACGATCCTTATTTTGCATATTAAGCATCATAAGAGTTACTTTTAACTAAATATGGCAATTAAGTGAAAAGTTTAGCCATAGCTGCACTTGGAGTGTTCAAAAAACTTGTTTTATGTGTCCTGATGTTTTATAGACAGAAAGACAGTATATTCATACAACTGTTATAAATATATTTTACAAAAATAAAAAATTAATGCAAGATAAAAAGATTTAAAATAATGAAATTGAGCGAGTAATAAACTTGCTGTAGTTTATTTATGGTTTTTTATAGCTGCTTTCTATAGTTGTCTATAACTGCTTTCTATGGTTTTTTATAGCTGCACAATTTTTTGCTCTTAGATATTTTAGTTTGGCTAAGCTTATTTATAGTTGTTAATATTTTAATTTTATCTTGCCAATTAATTTTATCTTGCCAATTAATGGAAGTTTATATTTTGCCATACATAAGGGTTTCTTTATTTTTATTGACAGATTTTATTTTACCTTATTTTATATTTATATTATTTTTGTTTAGATATTTTATATTTTCTCTCGTTATATATTTTGTTGAAATGTATTTGCTTCATTATTTGGATAATATATTTTCGTGACTTTTTATTTATGAAATTGAATCGTAAAACTAATTTTCGGACTCTCGGTCCGGCTCTGTATGTATGTAATAATAACAATTAAGGGTCGTTCGCAAGTTTCGTCACCCTTTTAGGGGAGGGGGTTATAAGTATTTTTGACAATCAGTGACATGAGGGGAAATCTCAATATTCTAAAGGTCGGTATCAGGTCGGCAAAAAAAAGTTGGGTACATAGGTCTTACAATAAAACATAGAAACAAGGTCGGAAATTTTTTGGCGACCTCAAACACTTTAATATCAGCATTGCCGACCCTAATTCCATATATATATATATATATATATATATATATATATATATATATATATATATATATATATATATATATATATATATATATATATATATATATATATATATATATATATATATATATATATATATATATATATATATATATTATATATATATATATATATATATATATATATAGATATATATAGATATAGATATATATATATATATAGAGATATAAATAGATATAGATATATATATATATATATATATATATATATATATATATATATATATATATATATCACAATCGCAAAATGAATGTAACATCTTTTGGAATTCGATAAAAAATGATTCTATTTTGCAAAGTAAATGGCAAATTAAGATACCGGAGTTTCAAAGACCATTCAGCGTTGTTAACTTTATTAGTTCCAGCCTCTCAAGCAAATAGTTCCACCATTTAAATATCTCAAGCTTCAAGTACTGTGTTATCACATGATTAATACACTCTCCGGTCAAAATAAGACGTTTTGACCAAAAAGCTATCAATTATGGAGTCAGATCTTATTACGTTATTGTTTCGAGAAAAATGCAAAATGTTGTCTCAATGTGATAACTCAAAAATAAAATATTTGGAAAAAGAAAAAATAAATAAAAAAAAAAAAAATTAAAATCAATTGATGACTGTCGTAAACGAGAGAAAATGTCTCGCGAAAGGAAGAAAAAAGTATAGGCTGAGACCTTAAAAAACCATCCTTTTGTTATTATAAATCTACCTGAATTGGTTTCAACAATTATTCAGATTGCCACTCACTGTGCCGCTGCAGCTGACAAACGAAGATGCAAAACTTTGAGAACAGTTAAATCTCTTGATGTGTTAACAGAAGCTTTGCAAAATCAAGGGTTCACAATTTCATCTTGCACCAAAAAATTCACACAAATGGCAAGATGTTTGTCAAGACCTTCATAAAAATCATTCGGTTACGAAATTTTGTTTACCTTCGATTGAGAATTTAAAGAATTTGGCTTCATTCTTGGGACCAGCAGAAGTTGTTTTAGTGAGCGAAGATGGCAAAGCAAAAGTGCTAATTGGTCGCCCAGCATTTAATTAGTCTACCTACTTTACAAGCTTCCTTGTAAAGTATCTGCTGGGAGACTTTAATATCAGCTTTCTTAATGTTTTGTGATACTTAATGACAAAGGGGGAGGGGTTATAAAATGTTGTTCTTTTGTGTGACATAATTTTGACCACTAAAATTTTAATGAAATCAATAACGATAAAAAATATTAAAGTAATATTTAAAAGTATTTTTTATTTAGAATATTACCAAGAAATTAATTTTTATGGAGATAGTTGTCCAACGATTGAAGAGAATCTCAGAAGTCACGATCAAGAGTGATAATGAGCTTACTTTACGCGACTTCGTATTGCTTTGTAGAAGGATTTTATATGAAAAATTAAATATTTAAATGTATTTGTAAAAATAAACAAGAAATAAGAACGGTTTCTAAAATTAATTCGATCCCAACAAAATATTTTAGCTATTTGAAATTAATTCAGTTTTAAAGTAGAATTTGATATTAAAATCTTTTATTACTTCATGTCCACAAAAATGTATTTTCATTTTATTAAAATTTTTTATTACCCGATGTTGTCCACTCACAATGTTGTACTAGTCAATGTTATTCCGTCAAAATCCGTTAAAAACTTTATTTCCATCTCTATAAGAAAGAACTTCGGCTCCAAGTACTCACAAATCAGCTCATATTTTATTGAATTCGTAGTCGCAAAAAAAAAAAAAAAAAAAATGGGTTATCGAATTTGCGACCCGTTTTAAATAAGCTTTTTAAAAAATAATGCAATAAAATTGGATCCAGTCATTGAAAAATATAAGGCGGCCGTGGCGCAGTCGTTAGAGCGCTTACACTAGAATCAGGAGATCCTGGGAACGAGGGAGCTCTGGACATTTTTCGTGTCATTGTTAAGGAGGGAAGCGTGAATTTCCTATTTAAATGCTTTTCCGTAGTGACTAGGTCTAGTCACTCCGGAAATTTATAAATAGTTTTGACAATAAACATCTAGTTTTGACTACAAAAAAAAATGCTTTACGATTAAATTAAGATAATAATTTATCAAAAAAAAAAAACAGACTAAGTTATAAATATTTATAAATATAAATACCTATAGAATTTCTATAAAAATTTGAATTTTTTAAGGTGATTTTAGCTCTGCGCTTAAGATAATATTCAATTCGAATCTGGCTTTTGTCGGAAAAATGTTGTTAGTAGGTACTTAAACGGAAATTCATCATTTAAAATACTTCCCCTTTAATAGCGCCCTTTTTCTTCTGTTTGCTAAAATGAGTTGTCTTTAATAATAACCTAATCTTCCTTATTTTAGTAATTTAGAGAGGCAAAGTAAGATGAAAATAGATAAATAATTTGAAACATTTCTTGATAAAGATAAAAAAAGATAAATAATTAGAAAAATTCGTGATAAAACTTAGAAATTGGAGTTATTATGACAACGTTTAGTTTTTACTGAAACAACATTTATTTTTAATGAAAATTCAAAAATTGAAAATAATGATGTTTTAATGGTAACTCTGGGTTCTGAGCCATAACTCTAGCCACTGCGCCACGGCTGCTCATTTATTATTAATATTATTATTTTAGAACAATTAAATTAAACTACATTCACGCACTTTTATTATTTTTTATACTTCTAAAAGTTTTCTTATCTTAAATTAAATTCTGCCAAAATAGTAATACTCAATTTAAGATTAGATTCAAACTTTATGGTACTTTAGTCTACTTTCGAAAAAAACCAGTTTAGATATTCAGGTACTCATAAAACATTTCTTTATCAATTAAAAACTGTTAAGGAAAATTGTTTGCATATTTATTTTTGTTTCATGACATTAAACGTTTTTTGAGTGTCATGTTGATTTTGTGGAACAACTTTCTTTATTAAATTTTTTTATAGATATTGTAGTTTATTTTATTCTTGTGTGTTTTATATCTTAAGTAATTATCATAAGGTTTTTGTTTTTACTTAATAATTTAAGTAAACCATTGCACAGTGGTCCAGAAATGCCACTTTTGAGGCAAAAATCATATCTTCACCAATTTTGGAGATAATAAGCTAAAATTTTTAGTGAATGTTCATTAATAACTGTCATTGTAATGTTGCTTTATACACCTCTAAAGGACACGCTAATAACACAAAACCAAGGACAAATTGCAAAACGAATAATAAACATATGACACGTATTTCATATTAATTTTCTATTGACTATAAACAGTCACCAGGATGTTTGATACATTGTTCGATTGAATAAGTATCATACTTGCGCAGAATACCAAGAACACATAGCATAATAAAACTTCCATTTAACTTATTTTGACAGACCTATGAATACCTTTTAACTAAATATTTTCTAGAGGACAAACGTCACATTTACAACATCTTGGTAAATTACAAAAACATGCAGAGTATCACATCAAGGACAGGTGCCAAGGACAAAAAGTAAGCACAACAACAATATATAAAGAATTAAAATAATTTCCAAGATGGTATTTTTATAAAAATTAGTGTATAGAATAAATGCTCTAAAATAACACATTAAGGACACATCACATAACATGCAACATGCTTTTTGCATTTGTACTTATATCTAGATGTTAAAATTTTTTTCCAAAAATGTAGTATTATAACAGTTTGACTTCCTGGTCGATTAATAAACAAAATCATCAAGTACACATATTTTGTAAATACCTTGACATGAATAATCTGTGCATATGATAGTACAGCAAGAACATACAACTTAAAAAGAACGCGTAATATTGGTTTTACACCAAGATTATAAATAAAAATAATCATTCTTTAATATTTCAATAATAATTTTTTTTTTATAAACTGAGAAATTTAGAAATATATAATTATAAAGGGTTTGCGTTTTTAAAAAACATCAAAGAAACATGTTTAAACATGTGTACACACTACTAGAAAAAAGGTGCTATTTTAAAAATGCAGCTTAATAGATTCTTCAAATAAAGTAAATATATTTAAGACATACTACAAATATTTCAATTAGTTTGATATAAAGAATATAATATTATTTAGAAAGTTACAAAAGAAGGTTTAAACATTCTGCTGGAAGTTCAAGTTCCTTTTTTGATTCAGAACTTCGCCTCATAGAAGTAATAAAGGGGTCTGATGAGCAGAGCAATCTTCTCATTACATCTTCATTTGTAAGTTTTCTAGAAAATTTTCTTGTAAAATGTTCTCGAAAATATTTAACATCTTTATTTGTACTTTCCTGGGCTTCTTCAGATAAGAGACCGATTGGAACTGGCTTGTCTCTTGCAACCTGGTGTGAATGTACAATCATCTTGTAAACTCCAACAGGCATAGGATACCATTTAAAATGTGCTACATATGTCATAAATGTTTCTTTGCAATATAATTCTAGTTTATCTGGATCAATTGGGTGTTTACAGGATAACACACAAAGGATAATGAAAAATCTTTTAACAAGACCCTTATCAATTCCAAGTATTTCAGCAAAAGTTTCAAGGCTTCTAAATGCCTTTCTTGGTGTGTTTCCATCATTGGATGTACCAGAGCCACGACTTCTTGGTACATCAACAACAAGTCCAAATGTATCTTTGATTTTTTCCTGAATTTCTTTTTTTCTACTTGCAACTATATTTTTCTTTTTAGGAGTGTTTGTATGAAAAAATCCACAATCATTGTACCCTGGTCTTCTTCTCTGTCCAATATGTAGCAGCGAATCCAGAGATAGAGAGTTTGGATTCTCAGGTCCAAAGACATCTGATTAGGTTGTTTATTATAAGCAATTACAAAGTCATTCATTTTTTTAGGATTTAATCCACATATTTTGCAAACTTGATAAGAATCAGTTAATGGAGAAAAAGGAGTCAGTGGAAATTTTTTTGTCAATCATAGTACACTCTAACTTATGCTTGACTTGAAATAAGTCTATGGTTATTGCTCTGAGTTCATTTGACATAAAAAAATCATATTCTGCTTTAACAATTTGCTTATTTTCTTTAACGTATTGCATTCGAACTGGGCGACAATATTGGGTTGAGGATGTTGATTCCCCAGTTGAACCATCGAATCCGACTTTGCTTATAAGAAGAAGAGTATTGCAAGGCTCAGGTAGTTTTGATTTATCAATAACTTTCTTAATCTTGTTTGTAGTGTGATCCATTATTCCTTGAAGATTTACAGAAGCACTGTAGTTTGTGGTAACAATTCCGGAATCTGAAATACAATCACTTTTAGATTTTACAATAAAGTTGTATAACATGCAGCCTTTAACTAAGGCCACTTGACTGATAGTTTAATAGTCAGCCCTACTCATTCTACAGTCTAACATTAAAGCTAAAGCTTCTTCAGCTAAGTAGACTTTAGAGTATGATATATTGCAGGATTTATCAACTTTACTTTTCATTATATGTTTTAAAACTTTGGCGTCTTCATTTCGTCATTCTTTATTTATATTAAGAATAAGGGCATGAAATAGGCTTTCATTTGTAACTCCTAACTTTTCATTAATCTCTGAAGATCTTCTTTTTTTAGACCTTGTAGAGAGATCTTCAAATGATTTTGATGGTGCACACGGCTGTTTCATAGAAGACATACGGCTTCTTGTTATTTTTTGAAAATAATTACTTAGGTGGTGTTACTAAAACTTTCATAACTTTTGAAATATTAAAGATAAATACGTTCTGTAAAAAGATTATGAACACCGATTAAATTTTTAATATTTTATCATTCAATATAATAATCCAAGGCTGCTATGATTTATATGAGCGCGCAAATGACAATCTTTGCAGAATTTTGCAAATCAATATTATAATATTAACACTTTTCTGTTGAAAAATAACACATTTTTTATAAATATGCCTAACAATATACTGCCGCCCTAAGTAAAAACGCAGTAAACAACAAAAATGACATTCTGAGAAAAAGCCACTTTTAAATTTTGTGTGTATATATTTTTTTAACTTACGGCAAAATGAACTATGGGTTTGATGACTTCGGAATATACCACAATATTTTTATATAGAGCGTTATTACACAGAAAACGATGTTAAAACGTTTGGTGCAATAATCTCGATTTTTCAATTTTTGCGATTACTGTGTTTTTTCTTAGGACGGCATTATAGGCAATTTAAATAATTTGATAACTCGTTTTGGTGGATTGACATAATATTTTTTTTAGTTAATATATTCATATATGTTCTATAAGTAGTAAACAATCTTTGTATGCAATTGATACTAGTTTTATTTCCATTCCATATGGAAAATACTCTTCATAATCTTACTGACTTCTTATGATAAATGTTGGCGCTTCATGCTTCTTCTTGAGTAAGGTTTAACTAATGATGCTCCATCCAACAATTTATGTTGGTTCGTATTAGTTGTCGTTTTTTTATGAATGAAAATTGTATCGTTTTTTTATGAATGAAAATGTCGTTTTTTT